AATTAACCATTGGTAAAAATTAAAACAGGAATTTTACAATTGTGTTTACAAGAAAAATTATTAGTTGAACCTTGCAGCTTGTTCATTATTTTTATTATAAATACTTATAAATGTATATATTATTAATAAATAGTTCCCATAATATTTTGTATTATTTTTTAATTTGCTCTTTCTGCAATGTTCTACGCTCTATAGAAAATGTGGCGTATGACATGTCTGACAATCTCTCGAACGTTTTATCTAGATACAAAGATGTTGTACGTTTTCGTCGCCTCCACGTTATATTTTTGTCAGCATAAGGTACCCTTCTGTATCTGAAACGAATATGAATATTGCTACAAAGTAAATTAATAGGCTATACAAGTCCCTCTACTGGGCACAGGACTCTTTTTTATTTATGAGAGCGTTTTAGGGCAAGGAAATGCCCGCCGCGCTGCCCCAATGCGTGTTGATGAAAATTGAAATTACATATTTCATTCGTACTGTCGGGGATCAAACCCGGGAAAAATTTACAGCTAACGCTTTGACCCAGCTCTACTAATACGACACAAATAAATACGATTTAACATATATAATAAAAAACTCTTACGTACTTGAAACTTGAACACTTAATAGCTCGTGACGCCTACCAGACAAAGCTACAGCACAATGTAATTGAAGATGCGTAACCGCGACATAATTCTCAGTAATGCGCAAGCATAACAGGCAGTATGTTACTTATATAATTGTCATCTCTGCAGTCTATTAATCTTTGCACTTTTATAAGTAATATAGAACGTAGTTGCTAGACGGTGTTGACGTCGGCTAAAATCTCTGCGATCGCCGTTTCGTCAAGGTCATTCAGGTTAGTTAAAGCCTTAAAACAATATTCTTATAGAACATGCTAGTTTTAGTACGCAACGCTCTGACGTTTTGGTAATAAATTCGCAATTTATTATCTATCTTTAAACACTATAATATGATAATTTAGATAGGTAACTCCAAGAATAATATAATAGTTCCGTATACTATCATTACATAACTTTAAATTGTTAGGGTTACAAAAGAAATCAATAAAAGCGGTACCACTACTGTAAAGAACAACAAAGCCGGCCAATGCGCAAAAACGAAAACAAAGTATCAATGAACGTTGACTCCAACCCAAACAAGGGTAATAATATGCACGTCTTTGTACTTTTTTATTATTATGTGAAAAAAAAGTTCCTATTTTATTTTGGATAAATCATTTGTCGAGTTAATATGTAGCACAGGACTACTGTTACTTTGACGCACCATAATAGTAAAGTTTCTTACCCACACAAATTTGTAATTGCAGTCTTTAGCTTTAGATTTTGCCTTTTGAAGCAGTATTTTATTAGATGCAGTTAAATGATCGTTGAAGAAGACATAAGAGCTGTAGCCTGAAAACCCGTTATGTCGCTAGCTTTCAAGTTTTTCAGCTGACGCACCCTGCACAGAAACTCATCGTTAAAGTAACAAGATATGAAACGCACAATTATACGTTTGGGCTTTTTATTATATTTTGATAAGGATGCAACACGGGTTACGAAATCCATATCAGCGGGGGCGTTAAATATTATGTTTGTGTAACTATGCAAATATGTAATGCTGTGCAATGCAAGATTAAATGCTGTTAAGGAGTACCACTCAAATATTGAGATTGTAGGATGCAAAATAAAACACTGTTAACTGTAACGCCTTGCGAATGGTACTGAGTTTATTATAAAAGAAAACATAATATGTACAATGCATTAAAATGACGTCAAACACGAACCCGCGCTCCAATTACGCTAACATATAAAAATGTACGGGTTTACTCGTACATATTATATCAGCTTTTTTGCCAAGTTTTCTATAATTGTAATCAAGTTCTCATTTTTATTTTCAGAAACCACACAAATTTTAATATTTGAACGTATGGCCCACTGATCTCTTGTATTATTCTCACTCTCCAGTTTATTAAATGAAGTCTTCAATTAAGTCATATCAGCCGATATAACATCCATGAATTTTAAAGATTTTTCTTGGTTGACCAACCAAAGGTCAACCAAGAAAAATCTTTAAAATTCATATTTATTGTTAATAAACGAAACTGATTTCTTAAGGTCCAGTTGTTTGTATCAATAATTGAAAAATAATAGCTGTTTGCCGGGTCCATACAACTGTGATGAAACGCTCCACCACAATGGGTGCATAACATAGTCGATTCATCGTCCATCGATCCCTCGCAGCAGGAGTACAGTGTTATACAAAATCAATACTAAAACCTCGCAAAAGGCACAAACTTTCAGTGAATATCCTTTACTAAACAACTTTCATACGTCGTAGTCTCTCAGCGACAACTCGTATAGATGCGCATATGATATACAAAACGAAAACAAAAACGAAAAAAGGGGTACTGTCATATATTTTTTTAGTTGTGTATGTTCAAAGAACGTAAAGTAGTATAAGTCTTTTCATTTAATGTGATGACTTTATCTTCACCTCGTTTAAACATCTGAAAAACAATAACGCTAAACAACCTAAGTGATATTTAATCGATTTTGTTATTACGTCGAACTCTATATTTTTCCAAATGTTCTTCTACCAAATACTGATACTTACATTGATAAGCTATTGTCGGTTTTAATTATAGTATTGAGTTCATATTTCATTTTATTGCCTTTTGAGTAAATGTTGAGTTATAAAAATAAAATACAACAGTACTTTCTGAAAATGATTTATTTCTACCATTATTATGATTATTATTATAATGTGTTTTGTTAAAGCCACAATTATTATTTAGAATAATATTTAAAAATAATTCTTGTCGTTTTGTAGCTCAGAATAAAATGTTTTAAGTTTTAATTTTTTACTGTACAATATAAAATTTTGCGTGATTACGATTTTCAGGTGTATGACCTCTCAGTGTCATATTTAACCACGGCTACCTCGAGATTAAAAATTATTAATTTTTGTTCCGATATACGCAGTATGAACTTACATTATCTTGATTCTTCTCTATTATGTATGCTTGGGTTGGGATTTAATTTTATTAATTATGGGATCCCAAGCAGATGCTAGCACCCAGCCATCTTCTCTATTAAAATTAGGATGTTTTTTGATTTCAATAGCCTCGCGAATCATTCTTGGAAGGAATCGGTGTTCTTTAGCGAGGATTTGTGGTCTATCAAATCTAATGTAGTGACGGCGGCGATGCTGTACGTGCCATAATCGCGATTTTGTTGCTCCAACCGGTTTTCAGAAAATAGATTTACCGCTATAGCAGTAAAAACTTTCAATCAACCCCGCCGTAGCGGATAAAACGGGATAATTTGTTGCTAATTAGTTGCTAAAATATAATGCAAAAAAATTAAAAAAATTAAAAATCACAGACTGCAGACTTCCCGAAGCGTCGATTCTTCACATCAGCTATGTGTTCTTTAACGCGGGCTTTTATAGATCTTTTAGTTTGTCCAATATAAGAGAGACCACATTCCCAATAAAGCTTGTACACTCCTGCATCTTACAGAGGGACGTTACACTTGACTAATGGTAAAAACTGACTAATCTGCAGGAACCGACCTCTGGCATATCTACTCCTCTCTACATAGACGAGTTAACGATCACAGTATCAGTTTCTTTTATAGGATAAGGGTGACAAACGAGCACACAGTCCACCTGATGGTAAGTGGTTGCTGCGGCCCATAGACATCTACATCTATCCTCTATTACAAATCAAAATGTAGATGCGTTGTTACCCGTGAGGACTAAGATGGAATGCCTCATTTCTAGTAAAAAGGGCCTCCGCTCACCTGCACTCACCAAGCGAAACGCAGAGGTAAACCTCTACTTCACGCTGGTTTTCTGTGAGGTCGTGGTACCACCCCGGTTAGAGCCAGCCCATCCGTGCGACAGCAAAAGCTGCCGCGTGGCTCTACCACTGTTTAGATATTAACCTTTCAAAGCTCGGCAAACCTATTTGGATTCTCAAAATGTCACTTTGTAGATCTCTCAAAACAATTATTTTTTAAATGTTATTTATAAGAACTATACATCTAATTTTCTAAAAATTTTATTAGAATTAGTCCCGTTACTAAATTACGCTTCTAGAAAATAAGAGTATTTAGTTCAAATGACGAGTATCCCGTCGTATTTACTACAGTATATCCCTATGTCGTGTGCGTGACTCTTGCCCTACTGTATTATTTTTAAAATTTGAAAGTATTTAATAGTTTACAAAACTTTGTTCAGTTCTTTTTTACCAAGGGTAAGTAATTTCACTGTTTTTTTAAAAGTTTTGCTTATATTTCGTATTTTAACAATTTTTATTCAATTTATAAAATTAGCATTTCAAATACCGTCGTTCACGTATGAAATCAAGTACTCAGAATTAACTGAAAATGAAATATAAAGTGTAAATAATCACCATAAATCATGAAAAAAAAACACAGAAACTCATATATTATACAGTCCAATGTGCAAAAATGACGTTTTATATTATAATTTCGACATAATCGTGAAAATTATGGCAAAATTGTTTTCAACAAAAATGGCGTTGCTCAATAAACAATACATAAACAACAAATAAATATATACCTATGATATATTTTATTTCGATTTATTAGAGGCTCCTACCGAGTGTTTATTATTACGATGTCGATATAATTTTGTTATATATTTCTTTTCTTTATGAAATTTCGAGTGTTTTTTTCTACATAGTAGTTAGGTAGTTAGTTAGGATTTTTCCGGACCGATACGACTTAGGGACCTTCAAGAAAAGAGCCTACTCCTTTTTAAAAGGCCGGCAACGCATCTGCAATTCCCCTGGTGTTGCGGTTGTTCATGGGCGGCGGTAGTCACTTACCATCAGGTGAGCCGCATGCTCGTTTGCCCCCTCTCCTATATATATAAAAAAAAGGTATATATATAAATTTTATAAACTTTGTTTTCTTACTCTTTTCGATTTTTGTGAAGACACAAAATGTTCACATGTGTGAAATACATACATTTTCAGAAAAATGGCGAAATTTGATAACTTATGGTGTGACTCGGACGAGGGCGATCTCAGCGAGGACGAAGAAACATTTTCATATAATAATGTTGTAAGTTATTTATTATACTCTGGTCTTTATTATAATTATAAATATGAGTGTGTATAGTGGTTGTATAACGTGATATATATATATATATATTTAAAAAGAAAACAAAAAATATATATATATACATGTTGGTATTTATATACTATATATATATATATATATATATATATATATATATATATATATATTAATTATCTACAGCTATCATATGACGTAAACATGAAACACATCTATGAAAAGGAGTCTCTGGTTTTTCTCACTTACCAATTAAAAGACAGCAGTGCTATCCTGGTCAATCCAACTCATGACCATAAAAATATGTTATATGTTTATCTAAAATGTCTCATCTTACTTGTTTTTCAGGAGCAGGATATGCAGAGGGAATTAGATAACTCCAATGAGGTTACCCTACTGGCCATGTTTGATGAACATGGACAGCAATTGGAGTGTCCAAGTCTCCCTTTAGGACCCGCACCTTACACTGAGCCAGCACAAGTAAATCCACCATTACCAGTGTCACCATCTTCTTCGTAAGTTAATTTTGTTATTATGTTTGTATTACAGCTTTTTCAAAAAAATGTGTAAGTAGAAGCTACCACAGTTTTTAGACTTTGTCTATATTCAATGAAAATTCTTCACTCTTATAAATTAGAGATATGAAAAAGCCTCCGTCTTGGGAAGAACGAGTTAGAAACCCAGCGAGACTTTTGGTGAATAGAATTAATTTACAATATTTTTTATAGAATAAAATTAGTATGGTAGCAATCTCCTCATTCCCAAGGATTATTATCAATCACATACTCTTAAGTAGTATAATAACCTTTACTAAACAAATTTTGCTTACTAAAAATTTAAACTGATTAATAAGGTCTTATATTTTCTGGGTCTGTGTTATAAAAATGAATGTTGTAAAAATGGAAGTCAATGTTATTGGCTGAACGCATTGTAAAAATCATATATTTTGTCTTTTGTATATTTAATGTTAAAAGGTTGTTTATTAGCCAGTCAGATACTTTATTTAAGCCTTTTTGAACATTTTCATAAACTTCTTGCCACGTGTTTGCATGAAAAATTACATTATATTATGTCTATCTTTGTTTATATATCTTTGTTTAATTGTTATGTCCTACTCACGCCCCGTCACTGCAGTTAATGTTCAACGCTCTCTTTATGCACTAAGCTCCTGGTAGCTCAATATATTTAACTAATTGAGAATTACTTTGAAAAATACTTACTTACTTATCTTCACGCACAATCCCTGACGGGGTAGCCAGAGAGAACAGATCGCCAAGTGTCACTATTTTTAAATTAAAACAAAATTGTACAAGAAAGACGTCCAATGTCCACCGAAGCCCGAGGGGACGAGGTATATACATTTATGTTATATTTACTAGTTTATAGGAGCCGTGGTAGCTAGGATGGTTGTTGGTTAGTTTCATAATATTAATTCTTATTTGAATAGATAGTTTTATCATTAAGGGTATTTATGTAGCAGTAATTCATTCAAATCGGATGTTTAATTTAGAATGTATCACAGGTATAAAAATGCAATACACGAACCGTTCGACGCATATATATATAAGGAATAATTAGGGTTCTGCACAAATAAATTAAAACCCACGAAATCTAATGGTCATAAATTAATACGCAGGTGAAGTCGCGGGGAACAGCTAGTATTACATAAAATATGTATGAACTAAATTATGTTATGTAATTTTCATATTTGTCTTGCAGGCGAAATGTTCGTCCAGAAGTGGTCGTTGTCGTTGAGCGGTTAGATGAGGAGACCAGCAACGAGTACTTGTTGGCGGACCAGCATGAAGTATATCACGAGGAGGTGGTGGCGAGTTCGAGTGGTGGTGCTGTGCGAGGCGTGCGGTTCCCAGCGACGGCAGCAGCAGGCGGGCTAGGGAAGCTCGAGAGCGGAGGGCCGAAAGGAGAAGGATGGAAGTAGATAATGATGATGTGGCCGATGACAGTGGACATGCGGCCCTATTCGAAGGAGATACGACTTCTCTTCACTATGATTGGCGCCCCATGGACTCTGTGAATTCTTTTAGCATTGCCGTAGTAAGGTCTTTACGTAAATCTTCAATTTCAGACGATAAATTGCAGTTGCAAATATGTTCTGGCTGTTTGCGTTTTCTGTGAGTAATTTGTTATTTCATCGTAAACTCGTTATTAGGTGACGACAAATTAGTGTACGAGTTACTTTTGCCAGGCGGTGAGCATCTGACATTCATGACTTGTTCCATACAACAAGAACGAAGTTACAACAGATAGCTAGTGCGCTGATGTCTGTATGCGTGTTTGCTCCCCCCGGTATCGAGACCGAGATGAAAAATATAATATTGTATTTGTTACCCACGGTGGTGAAGGGCGCCTTTGTGGTTCTTGATTCGTATCGACTAGTCGTAAGCGCACATTTGTTGAATATTTTACTTTTTTATTCTAGTTTAAGGTTTATTATTGCAAAAACACAGTTATTTACTTTCAACGAGACAACCAAATACACATCTACTCAGTATAACTATTATTATTGCAGTTTAATCCATGATATTTAATTAATAATGCTTAAGATTAATAAATGTTTAAGAATTTCGTATGATGCATTATAAATTACATCATCATCATGACAGTCGGTCACTCCTTCTAATGAGTGATGACTTACACTTCGCTCATCAGTACGAGGCTGCCACCTAAGAGCCTTTCTTTACTTTCGATTGTCGTTTCTTTGAGCTCCGTTGCCACTTCAGCTAACTGATACGTTATTATTTGTCGGTTACTCTGGTTCTTCTGAGGATATCCTGATTACGAAGTTTATCGTACAGAAAAACTCTTTCACGACTATCCATTACAATGAACCACCACGGGAAAATCTTTGTTATAGAGAGTACAAGAGAAAATATCTGGCTGCCGAGTTTCAGCATGGCAAGCAAGTATTATTGCAAAACAAAAAACTTCGGCTCCCGCGCCTACGTTACAGTGACTGAGTGAATCCGGCCACAGTCGAGCGTGTGCCTGTACTACCCAAAGAGCAGTCGCTGACAAGGTAGACAACCTTCTTGCCTACATGGTAAAACCACGATGCAGCTATATTAGTAGTATAGTTGTAGCACGAATGGGCTCGACCGGGGGAGGACCACGCTCTCACAGAATACCAGCGTCAAATAGCAATTTAACACTGCTATGTTTCGTATGGTGAGTGTAGAGAACCGGAAACCCTTTTTACTGGAAAAAAGGCATTCTATCTTAGTTCTCACGAGTGACAACGCATCTGCGTTTTGATTCGCAAACGAAGATAAAAGTAGATGTCTATGGGCCACAGCAACCACTTACCATCAGGTGGACTGTGTGCTCCTTTGTCACTCGATCCTATAAAACAAAAACAAAACACATCTCAAGCGAGCTTCTTATTTTTATTAAAACATACTTCGCCGCCGAAGAAGATTAGTCAATTTTTACCACCCGTCCAGTGTAATATCCGTCTACAACATGCAGAAGTGTAAAGCTTGATTGCGAATGTGGTCTCTCTTACATATGACATACAGAAAGATCCATTAAAATCTGCGTGAAAGAACATATAGCTGACGAGAGGCACCAACGCTCTGAGAAGTCTGCAGTCTGTGAGCATGTTCAAGATCGTCCCAGCCATTACATCAGATTTGATAGACCACTGGTTCTCGCAAAATAACACCGATTCCTACCAAGGTTGATACCCGAGGCTATTGAAATTAAAAAACATCCTGATTTCAATAGAGAAGATGGATGGGTGCTTCCATCTCTGTTGTGGCTTCGGAACAGTCCCGATATAATATCCTTTTCCTAAGTATTTCTTACCCTCCCGCCTCCCCCATATACGCACTACTCAAAATGGTGCGCCACCTATCGTCAAGAAAAAGAAGAAGCAAGATGGCTGCGCACGCATAAAACTTGTTCGTTACTGCTCGTTTAAAAATACTCAATAAATAAGTTGTAAGACTATCGTGCAATTGCTCGTGTCCATATACATTCGAAGTGCAGTGTGGTGTCTGTGTATACACGAGAACTTCATCCTAAATATTTAGACTTCACCATAACCACGAGGAGTGCTCCAGTCTTGTGAGTATCCTTGCCTTATCTACCCAGTTCTAAAGCTATTTTCATTTACTTCCTGATTGGGATCATCGGGTTAGCCAGCCCTTGGTCTGGTTGTTCTCTGGTTCCCAAAACCACCCTACGAAACACATTGTGAAACATTCAAGCCGTAACAATCTCATTTTGTTAATTATAGGATCCCAAATCCTATAATTAACAAAATTAAATCCAAACCCAAGCATACCACTGCAAGACTTCAAGATACTGTAAGTTCATTCTGCGTAGATCGAATCAAAAATTTATATTCAAAAACTGAAGGTAGCCGGCCTAACTGTGATATCAGGACGTCCAACATCTCAGTCCTCCCGTGACCATGGTTGCGGTAGGGAAATCAAATAAGTAAATTAAGCGCGAGAAAATCTGTAAAATACTTTTATTCAATGTATAAGGTATTCTAGTGGGGAAATCGCTGCATTACGTGCTAATTGAGCAACTCATTATTAGTATAAATACCGGGTTCTATTGTAGTTAGATCATTTGTCTTTGAGTTATCGTCAACCAAATAAGTCAATCAGGAAAAAATTGTGAAATATGGAGAAAATCGAGTTCCGTGCTGTTATAAAGTTCCTTAACAAGCGCGGAAAATCAATTCATACTATACTGCAAGAGATATAATCCGATTATGGAGACTCTTTTCCAAGTAAAACTATGTTTTACAAGTGGAATACCCTTTTTAAACAAGGTAGAGAGTCACTTGAAGACGACCCACGGCCAGGAAGGCCGATCGAGGTGACCACTTCGGAAATTATTCAAAAAGTCGAAATATTTATATTAGAAGATGCCCGCCTAAAAAAACAGCTCACAGAAATGGTTGAAGTATCAGATACAACCATTTTCAAAATTCTTCATGCCAATATGGCATGACTAAAATCAGCGCAAGATGGGTGCCTAGAATGTTCACGCCGCCTCAAAAGCAACAGCGCGTGGAGTGTTCTCGTGCATTTTTGGACCACTGTATGCAAAACAAAGATGGAGTGTTGGCTCGAATTGTTACTGGTGACAATACTTGGGTTCATCATTAGGACTCTATGCATATACATAAACACTCACGCCTGTCGCCCAGAGGGGTAGGCAGAGACTATGGACTTCCATTTGGCACTATTCTGACACACCACTCTTGCTTCCTCCACATCTATATACCTACGCATACACGCTCGTTGGTTAGAGGTATTCTTGATTTGGCCCATTTTCAATATATCTCCAATTTTGTCGGACACTTTCGCCTAGGGCGTCCCTTCCCGACTCTGCCGTTCACCTCTGCAACATAAATTTGTCATTTGTCACTCTTTCCTCATTCATTCTTTCTACATGACCAAGCCACCGAAGCATTCTTTTCTTAATCCTGGTCACAACATCATCTTGCAAAGCACACTCTTCTCTTATCACACTATTTCTCACCCTGTCATTTAGATTCAGCCCTAACATACTCCTTAATGACCGCATTTCTACAGCATTTATTCTAATTTCGTGCTTTTTCTGCCACAGACAACTTTCACCATACATTAAAGTAGGGACTAACACAGCATTGTGAATTGCCATACGTGCCTTTTTGGACACATTCTGACTTCTTACAATAGGGTGTAGAGCCCCATTTACTCTATTTCCTGCATTCACTCGTCGTTCTATATCCTTATCATATCTACCATCCCTGTCAAATACACATTCCAAATACACAAACTCGTCTACTGGCACAAAAAAGGCACACCACCACCCAAGAAATTTAAGGTGGCACAATCGGCTAGGAAAATCGTGGCGATAGTATTTTGGGACTCAGAAGCAATCATATTGATTAATTATAAATATAAAGGTGGAGACGGAGATGGAGACCATAACCGGAAATTACTACGCTTCAATCCTAGAACAATTGAAGGAAGCCATAAAGTAGAAAAGAAGGGGAAAATTGACCAAAGGAATCCTTATTCTGCACGACAACGCGCCTGTTCACTGTTGCGATGGCTGCCCTGCCGATGGTGGGCTTCGAAATTTTGCCACACCTACCCTATAATCCTGACCTGGCCCCTAATGATTGTTATCTATTTCCAGACTTAAAAAAAAAGCTTCGTGGCAAAAAGTTTTTAAGTGATGAAGAAGTAAAGGAAGCAGCTTTGGCGTATTTTTTAGACAAAGACAAATCATTTTATGAGGATATATAAAAGTTTTTTGAAAGATCCGAAAAATGTATTAGGGTAGCAGGTGAATATATTGAAAAGGAAAAATAAATTTGGATTTTTATTAACACTTCTTACCCCTCATTCCGCGAATATAAAAGCGCACCCTATATAAAGTCCATTCATTATAAACTAATTGTCAAAAGGTGAATCCATACAATATTAAAAAAAATACACCGATTGTTTTTGATAAAATTTATTCACACAATAACAAGCACGATTAACAATATTAAGCAATATTTTAGGCATACATTATTTTAAATAATTTGTAATAATATCCACTAGACCACATCGTCCCGTGGCTGTCGTAAAAGGCGACAGAGGGAAACTGAAACTGCAGATGGGCATCAGCATCAAAGTAACTGAAATGGCAGCTAATGGATTACATCATTTTCACAATTTCCATCCATTATCTATCCATTACAGCCTATAAGTCCACTTTCGAACATAAACCTCCATAAATTGCATCATAGGGGCGATTACGCCACGCTTGGCTGGCGGGTTGGCAACTGCATTTTTTTGTAATTTTGAGTACTTATTAGGAAGATGTTGCTGCCCATTTCCTGTTCCAGTGTCACTATATCTCTTACGACACCTACGGGACGATACGGGGTAGTTGATATTACTACACGGTTACTGCCTTCTAATA